CTGATGGGTCTGCAGGATTGTTTTTCTGATGTGTGTAGAATGAATAAGAGGATTGTAGGATATGGGAGGGGAAAATAGAGAGGTTTTTCCTGGAGAGCCTGGATAGGAAACGTAAGGGTACTGAAAAGAGGAAAAAGAAAATGAGAGAAAAACACATAAAAGTGTGTTTTGATATTTTAACTTGGAGACATTTGTAAATTTTCATTGAAATTTTCTTTTTAGCAAATGTTGTAATCATATTTCTTTCTGTTGAAAGAAGTGGCCCACATTGCAATTCTTAGTATTGTTTCCTAGCACTTGACCTCGTCTTATTCCTATTAAATGACCTTTAGTTTCATGTAAGATGACCCTTTCCACAATTGGATATTGTATTCTTTATTGATTGCAAAGTAGTCAGACTGGTTTGGTAATGTCTTTTATTTAGTTCAGTTGGAACCTTTCAGTTCTTTGAGCAGCTAACATTGAAATTCACTTTTAATTTTTTAATTTCTATAGAAGCAACCCTTTCAGAATAGTAGCAGGAAATAATTGAGGAAAAAGTCTAGGCTGGAATGAAGTTTATACAACATTTTGTTCAGTTCTTCATTACCTTATTATATCTTTTTAAGTTTTTTTAGAATCTTACATGTAGTCTGTGCTGGCCTTGAACTTCTGGCAGTGCTCCTGCCTTCGCCTCCTGAGTGCTGGGATTAGAAGCATGTGCCACAATGCCCTGCTGTCATATTCTGACACACTTTAAGGAGTAGTATCACTCAGAGAGTTATCACTCAGACATTAATAGTGTCATGCAAAATACAGTTTCTATGGAAATAATTTTGGAAATTCTAGGTTAAACAACATTGAACAGGTTATTGTAGAATTCCTCAGTTGTTAATTAAACTCATCCATGAATATCATGAAACTCAAAGAGAAGATTATTTATAGCTTTTCTGAAACACTGCTCGTCTGACACACCCAAACCTAGGGCCAAATTCCACACAATATACTTAGGGAAATCTTCAAAAGAAAAAGGAGTACTTTCACTAGTAACTGTTTATTTTTATCAATGTTATATTATTTTAGATTTCTTAGTTTAAATTAGTATATTTATTCTACCAGATTTTGTGTTGACTTTTATCCTTACCCTTAAAAACATTTTACCTTGGAGATAAGCAAAAATATAAAACGAAGTATTGATCCAGAAATTAAGAATTTAGAAGACATGTAATTAAGGCAAAAGCAGGCTTCAAGATCCACAAGAAACTCCGTTGGAATGTATACTTAGCCAGAAACTACAGAAAAATGATTTTCTCTCAGAAGTGCTAATGGACAAAACCATTCTTCTGTGAGCTCTGTGATATATCGAACCTTTCAAACCAAGGAGCCTGATCTGGGCTCATGGGATAAACCTGGTATTTGCTTACCCTATGTGATGATTTTAACCTTTGAATTAGTTCCCAATATTTTATTTCACACACTAATCTGCATTTCTAGTCACTTTTCTGAAAGAAAAGTTCTAATCTGTCTTCTGACAGCATATTCACAAATGGTAGCTTCTTGCTAAAACTGAGAAGTACCTGCTTCTCTTAGAAGAAATGGCTTCCTCCATTGTGTTACTGTCTGCCTGCTAACAGTTAACCTGGTGGCTTGACCCATTTATGCTGCTGCTCAGCCCTATAGGCATTTGAGTTTGGTGACCCCTGCTGTAAGGGCGCGGCACCGTCAGAGGGAGGCTGGTAGCTCCCAGATAATACTGCGTGCCTCTCCTTCCAGAGTCACTTCCACAGCAGATCTGGTCAGGTTGCTCCAAGAAGGAGTGCTGGAATCTTCTCAGGCTCATTAAGGGGCTCCTCACCATTTTTGCATGTTATTTGTATGCTGCTTGTCCTCAGAACGCTGAGGTTTTTACTTCCTAAAGTATGGCCTCTTTGACAACTTACTGGAAGAGGAGTTGCTTCATACCTATACACACAGAGTTACTCAGGACAGAGGTTGTGTTGCTAGGAGAAATTTATATTGAGTTAGGTCAGAGTTCTAATTTTACCCATTGAAAAATAATTATTAAGGCAACAAAGATGATTAAAAAGCAGTTTTTGTTTTTTTACTCCCTTTTACAAAATATTTGACTCTGCTTATGAAATTAATACTATATTAAAGCAGAGAAATATATATATATATAAGTCAGAAAAAAATCAGGATGAGAAAATAAATCCAGAAAGAGAACATGTATAGCTGTGAGAATAAACCTAAAGTGGAGAAATACACCTAACATGGAAGAATGAGCTTATGTTTCAAAGAGAAAGTAGTGTGAATGAAACTTGTTAATACAAATAGTACTTTAGTGTTATTTTGCTTGTATTGATTTTTCACAAACTCTGCAGTAGTGCTGCTCTGAGGAGCTGTATTCTGATACTCAGTTGGAGTCAGGTTTTGTGAATAGAGTGAGTGAGCACTGTGCCGTGAGCCTCCTCCTGTGCGTTTACCCCATCTGTAGTGCCAAGAATAAGGTAGAGTCGGTTGTGAATGATGCTGTGAAAAAAGGGTGAAGGCAGGAGCGATGGGAAGGGAGGTGAATGAAGGCTCTCACAGGAAGCTTGAGAACTTCTGCAGAGAGTAGCAGTAAACTAAAGCTGTTACGCAAGAAGACATTTTCTGTACTTTTGTCGAAATGAGAACTAATCACTAAGTATAATATGGAGGAATATTTTTCGTTTTTGACACAAAGTGATCCATACCAAAAGACTGCAGAAGTATTGGCCTATAGTCCCAGCTCCTAGGAAGGTGAGGTAAAAGGATTGTTTGAGTTCAAGATTTCCAGACCAGAGTAGGCAACAAAGGAAGACCCTGTTTGTCCAAAAAAAGGAAAAAACACCCATGACCAAGTCCTATTAATATAAAATGATTGGAACTAGGTGTAATGGCACGTTCCTGTAATCCCAGCAGTTGGGAAGCTGGGGCGGGAGGATGGCTGCAAGTTTGAGACCAGCCTCAGCTCCATAGAGAGTTGAAGGCCAGTTTGAACTACATAGTGAGACTGTGTCTCTAACAAACAAACAAACAAACAAAAAAGTGATTGGAATCACCTAACATGTCCAGAAGCTGCTTTAACTGCTTTGTTAGGAATAAGACTAGAAAAGCCAGGTGTAGTGGTGCACACCTGTAATCCCAGCACACTGGAGGCTGAATCAGGAGGATTGTTGCAGCCTGAGCTACAAACTGAGCTTGAGACCAGCCTGATCTGCACAGCGAGATCCTGTCTCAAAAAAAAAAAAAAAAAAAAAAAGGAACAAGACTAGTAAAACCCCTGCAAACCCAAACATACAAGAAGAGAGAGTTCTATGTAGAAATATATACCCAGATACATTCCTTCTTTTTGTGAGATAGGGTCTTGCTCTGTATTTTCGGTAATTCAGGCTGTACTTGAATACACTGTGTAACCCAGGCTGGCCTTGAACTTCCTGAAATCCTCCTGCCTCAGAATCCCAAGTGCTGGGATTACAGATGTGCTCCACCACACTTGGCTACATTTTATCTTGTGAAAATAGTATCTCTGTTCTTATAATATCAGGAAATTATAGACTTTAATTACTAAAAACAGTGATTAAACCATTTAAAGTTAGGCTTTATAGTATTAGTGAATCTGCCATAGTGATAAATGTCAAGGATGTAATATTTGGCAAAGCAGATCAAATGTTATGAGGAAAAACTGCATTTTTTAAAGTGCAGTACAAGTGGAACAAACACTTGAACGTTAATAGAATTGCCAACAGGTCCAAGTTTTCGGAGTCTAAGAAAAAAGGAAAATTTTATGACTTCTGGCTGAGAGCAACAGTGTCATAAAAGATGAAAAATTAGGTGGGGGTGAGTTTCATGGTGATCTTAAGGAATGCATGACTGCTTCTGATGAGCAGAGCCAGCTTTAGAGTCAGTTCAAGGCAATCTAAAAGTGTAACTGGGCTGTGGTGCTACCTTTCAAGAAGGAGTACTACCGGGTGTGATCAGCCAATCCACATAAGAAAACATCTCCTGTGTTTCTGTGTGCTTGAGGAATGGGAAAAATGAAGAATTCTGTTGATACTAAGGAAATGAAAACTCAGTTATTTTACTTTGCTTCCTGTCTTAACCTGGGAGAGCCAGGGGAGAGCCACGTGGCCCCACTGTGCACCCACCAGCCTCCCAGAGCACACAGCTGCCCTCAAGCCTGGCTGCTTGCTTTTTAGGCAGTGCCAAACACAGCTTTTAGGGTGGGAGTTTTAAAGATCTTCTGGTAGTTGAGTTATGATTAAAAGGGGATGTCTTAAGGTCAAGCCGATGCCTTTATTTTTTACCATATGCTAAAATAGTGCAAAATATGGGCAAGAAATCAGAGAACTATTATGACAGTTGCTAAGTAGAAATGTGCCATAAAGGTTTCTTTTTCTAATTTTCAAGACATTTACTTCATTTCTAGGCTTGTCTTTATTTAATCAACCTCATTGATGAAAATAAAATTAGTCAAAACTATGTACTTTAGCATTTGATCTCTTTGGTGTCTTGATTATTAATCTGCATTAAATCATATTGCTGAAAGACAAATTTGTTAATTTGGGGGTTGATGAGAATTTAAATCTAGACATTTAGATAATTCTTAGGGATAATTTAGATAATTCTTAATGTTCCTGTTCTCTTCCTTTAGGGGGGCTCTTAAAAAGCTAAATTATATACTTCAACAGGTCGTAAACAACCTGTAATATGTTAAAATAAATCTGGTCCAAAATCTAGACTCTGTCTCTAAAAGATTACCTTTAAAAACAAAATTGGTTTACGAAGATTTCAAGGTATATGTCTAGAGTGCTGAATACTGTAGTTTCCCCCAAAGTTTTACTGAAAAGCATTTAATACAGATTACATTAACTAACTGGATTTTGTTGGGTTGTGTATGTTGTAAAATGCACAAATCACTGGGTTTATCTTTAGTCATCTTATTCTCATTTGAGGTTGATGGAAATGAAGTAAGGACCAAGTAAACAACTTTTTTTCAGGTGCAAATTCGACCATGGAACCTAAGTGACAGTGACTTTGTAATGGATGGTTCTCAGCCTTTGGACCCCAGAAAAACTATCTTTGTCGGGGGAGTTCCACGACCCCTCCGAGCTGGTGAGTGGAAATAGAAACACCACAACAACAAAAACAACAACAAAATTCCCCAATGCATTTAGTCTTAAATAATGTTCCAGTTCCCAGTCAGCTATTTACAATCTCTAAGAAGACTGTTGTGTCATTTTCACTGAGCCAACTTTTTCGTAATTAAATATGTTCTCCCAAAATGCTGTATCTTCTTACGGTACAAGAGTAAATTTTATTTGATCATGTTTAAAAGATAAACTTTAGTGTTTTCCTATTTAACCACATATTTAAAAAATAATGTATTTGGCAACATGAATTTTCTAATGCTACTTAGCAGTGTTATGTATGACAGAAAAAGAAGTCACCAATTAAAAATCTGCCAGATGCAACTGTGTACTCGCTCGGTGGTGAGCCAAGCCATGGCTGGAAATTGTGCCCCTGGCAATCAAACTGAGCTCATCCCAAGTGAGATGAATTCTTATTTTTCCTCATGAAGCTTGAGAAATGAATTATACATTTGGGCGTTTTTATTAGGAATATAAAAGCTTCCCTGTTTTTGTGAAACATCTTTCCAATGATGATATAACTGTGTTACTGAGATTGAGCAGAATCATAATTGACTAGAGAGCCTGGAGTGGTGCTGAACTGATGACCTCAATATTTAAATCCAATGACAAATCTAAACAGCTGTCCATCAGTCTCCTGATGATCAGTGTTCCTGCCAGTGGAATGAAATTACTTCTAAGAGCTAAGATTTTAAAGCTCTTAGAATAGATTAATTTTTAAACAAAAAATAAGGTTACTATTGCCACTATAGTTGCAAAAATACATTACTTATGTCATTTATGAGCAAGTAGACTTAGTACTACCACAAAAATGAAAACAAAACCAGAGATCAATAAAATCATCTTGTGAAAACAGAAAAATAAAGTGTAGCCAAGGGGGCTGGGGAGTTAGCTCAGCTGCATAAGCGCCTGCCTTGCAAGCAGGCAGTCATGAGTTCGATCCCCGGTACCGATAAAAAGGAAAAAGAAAAAACCAAAAAACAAAAATGTAGCCTATCAGTGTTTGGCTCTATGACTTTAATGAGTTCCCAGTCCTGAAAGTTTTGCAATATTGTGAACGTATTTATTCAATTTCTACTCTATACCTGAAAGTTAGTCTTAGACCTATATAAAAATATGTTCTCATTTCAATTTTGAAGAACTTTAAAATATTAGTTATGACTATGGAGTTTATAATTTAATACTTGTAAAGAAAGTCATATATTGTTGGATTTTATTTTCATCCGAATGGCAAACCATGCTAAAGAGAGTGAGCAAAGCAGCAGAGATGCCTCCTCTTCATCTGCTGTCAAGAATAAAGTCCAAGAAGGCCCAGCTCAAGTAGAAACAGCATCATGCGATGAGAATAGATACAGCCCTTCGTTTGTATAAGTTTGTGTTTTTAAAAAATGTGAATGAGAGTGTTATGGAATATTCCTGACTTTCCTAACTTTTTATGATTAAGAGTGGGGGAAAATTTTTTCTTTTTTTCTTTTTTTTTTTTTTTTTTTTTGTTTTTTTAGTTTTTTTTTTTTTTGTCTTTTTCCTTTTTATCGGTACCGGGGATCGAACTCACGACTGCCTGCTTGCAAGGCAGGCGCTTATGCCGCTGAGCTAAATCCCCAGCCCCTGAAAATTTTTTCTTATATATTCTTTTAACTGCATGTGTTTTCAACAAACATTCATTTCTTGCTATTCCTTTTTGCAACTAATTTACAAGCACAAATTTATTTTTAATATTCTAGCTCAAGTTCTTTTTTAATATGTGGGAATCTGAAAAAATATTCTGAAAGAAAAGGTTCCACCATTATAAAATATCAGAATTGGACTTAAGTTCTTAGGTCTATTTTTAAGTCATTGAAACTCCAGTTTGTAAGCTAAATTATCTCTTACATTATTCATCTTTTATTTTTACTGTTTTTATTGTATGTATGTATTTATTGTCTTTTTGAGACAGGGTCTTGCTTTGCAGTTGAGGCTGGTCTCAAGCTCAGTTGTCGCCCACACCAGTCTTAAATTTGTAATTATCCTCCTGCCTTAGCCTCCCAAGTACAGGGATTACAGGCATGTATCACCATGCCCAGTTTATTTTTATTGTTTTTAATGATTTACTATTTTTAATGCTGTAGTAGGGTAGGCAGAGCCTGTATAACATTTTTCTTCTATGAATCCTATAAAGATATTTTTCACGTTTGGGCTATGATCACACTGATACTCCTTAAGAAGGGAATCCCAAGACACAATATTGTATTCTTCAACATTTTGTACCTGCAAAATGCTGTAAGTGCTAGTATTAGGTGAGGCTTATATTTAGTTGTCTAGACAGAAATGGAATTTTGTATTCTTTGCCTAAAATGTATACCTTAAGTCTTGAAAACCTTTGGTTTTTTAGAGAACTAACCTAAGGCTTTTAGTCTTAAAATTGTGTGAATAGTAAAGTCATCTAGTCTAACAAAAATGTTCCTTCTTTGCCAACACTTCCCATAAAGTTAACTAGTTTCTAGGTGTAGCTAAGTAATCTACATTGGTGTTTTAGAACTTTACTATCTGTCCTAAAACTTCCAGATTGAAATTTATGTAATCTACACCCCCCCATTGACATCTTCAACTTTTATCTATGTGTAAAGAATTGGGTTTCTTTGAAATACAATGAGCTTTTTGGACCATGTGTCTTGGAATAGAAGACTTTTTAAAGGAATTCACTTTGATTTTGCTAGTCATAAATTGAGTACATACAATTCACTTGAACAGTAACTATTTATTGAATATCATTGTGTTATTGACATTGGGCAAGTGCATGTTGCACCAAGCTGAATGAACATTCTACTATCATCTTAAACAGGTCATCACATGCATTAGGTCAAAAATTTCAGAACATAAGTAAGGAATGGCGTGGTAGAATTCTAACATATTTAATTAGATGCTAACACAATCCTTTCATAGGGTGAGCCTCAAATTTAGTTTTGAAATGCTTTATTTATTTATTTATTACAATTTTTACTATTTCCAAACAGAATTCTGAGAAGTCTTAAAACTATTTTAGCCTCCAACCAGAGAGTGATCATGGACTAGATATGGGTGACCCAACTGAACAGTTGAAATTTTAAGTGTCCAGAAGGGTTTTCACCTTAGTCTGAGCCAAAAATTGTTTTAAACATGTTAAAGTAACTAAAATATTATCATTCAAAAGAGTCATTTCTATGAATACTGTGAGGTTTTTAAAAAATGTTTGAAGTTTCGCTTCCGGGAGAACATGGCGGACAGATAACAGCAACTACCGGAGGCTCTCTGAAAACTAGGCTCAGAAGCCAGGTATGGTGCGGACTAAAGAGACATAAGCAGGTGGAGTTATGCTCTGCTGACTCAGGAACGAACTCGGCTGAGAGAAACCAACTTGGAATGCAGTCCTGGTGCTAAAACAGGAACAGAAAAGCCTCGCTGCTGAGGCTGGACCCCACGCCATTTGGGTTTCCCGCCGCGCGGTGGCTGGCTGCCTCTACGTCGGCTCGGCAAGGAGAGAGACGCACGGAAACTCTGAGAACGGGAGTCTGTGAACGGAGTCGAAAACAGGACAGGCAGGGAGGCATGTTCTGACTTGTGGCGAGGTGAGTGAGAGAAACTGACACTCCACCACAGTTTGACTCCAGCGGACTTTCTGGGCCCGGGCAGTCCTGTGGGAGCAGGGCGCGCTGGCGACTCCAGCCACACATTCCCCTGTCGGGCGGGATTGGTGAAAAGTGCCTGGCCTGCGTGACGCTGCCGGCGGACCCCGTAGGCTGGCCCAACCCAGATCCCAGAGCCTGACGGAGGTCGGGAGGGGCGGGCCCCCGCGTAGGCTGCCTGGTGTGCAGCAGTGAGTGGAAACACCTAACCGGCACAATTCGATCAGGCTGTGGCTGACAGAGAGAGAAGCTAGGCCTCTCATATAAGCTTGCATATATAAGGAACAGAGAATATGGGAAGAGGCAGCAACAAGAAAGGCTCCTCGGCCCCCAATTCTGAGAAACAGGCAATAACAGACACCGCACCATTACACATAAGGCGCCATATAGAGAGCCTCATAGACCAATTCAGGAATGAAGTTATCAATGACCTGAAGCTAGAAGTATGCAAAATAGTTAGAGAAATACTAAGCACCACCCAAGAAAAAACAGATGGTGGAATGGAAGAACAGAAAAAGAGGGGAGAAGTGTTTGATGGAGAAAACAGGGAAAGCATAGAATACGTGAAGCAGGTTCAAAGGGACTACCAAGAAACTAAGAAGTCTATCGAAGACTGGCATAACAGCTTGAAAGAAACTAAGGACAGACTATCTGAACTGGAGGGCAGAATTGTAATATGGGAGAATGAAATGAAAAACTTCTTAAAAATAACAAAGAAACAAACAGCAATAATACAAAGACAAGAAGATGATAAGAGGAGCCATAACTTAAGGATTAAGAACATAAAAGAAGAAGTAGGGACACAAACAAATGAACTACAAAAGCTACTCACAGAAATAATCCAGGAGAATTTTCCTAATTTAGCAAAAGGTAAAGATACTCAGATGTATGAGGCATACAGGACCCCAGCTACCTACAACCCAAACAGAGCAACACCCAGGCATATAATAATAAAAATTCCAGAAATTCAATACAAGAACAGAATATTAAAAGCTGTCAGAGACAAGAAGCAGACCACTTACAAGGGAGCACCCATCAGAATTACAGCAGATTTCTCTGCACAAACCATCAAATCACGAAGAGCTTGGGGGGAAATAATTCAAGCTTTGAAAGATAATAATCTCCAGCCAAGATTGAGATATCCTGCACAACTGTCCCTCGAAATTGATGGAAAAACAAGGTGCTTCCAGGATAAAGAGGAACTGGGGGAATTTGCAACCACCAATTCAACTCTACAGAGAGTATTGCAGGATATTCTAAAAAAAGAAAAATACAAAGAATCCAGAAATAATGGAGGCCACAACGAATGGAGCAGAGAACAAAG